CACACTCCAGAAGCAGCTGCCAGAGTATTTCAGTTATTCGAAAGTAAGTTGCTGCTGGTGGTCTTCTCAATTAGCAGAAGGAGTGCTTAGGATATATGGATTAGCTAGAAATACTATCCAGGAATTTGCATTCTCGAGCAAAAGGGATATGAGAGTCTGGTGAGCACAGAAGCCTAATATCCTTAAGAATGACATTCAAGGGCGGCACCTGTGGCTCAAAGGATTAGGGCACCGGCCCCATATGCCAGAGGTGGCAGGTTCAAACTCAGCCCCGGCCAAAAACTGCCAAAAAAAAAAAAAAATGACATTCAAGAGCCCAGGAATTGAATGATTTTCTTGAAGAAAAAACAATATAGGCTCAGTGTCGGTAGCTGAGCAGCTAGGGCTCCAGCCACATACACCCGGGCTGGCAGGGTCAAACCCAGCCCAGGCCTGCCAAACAACGACAAATGCAACCAAAAAAAAAAAAAATAGCCGGGTACTGTGGTAGGCACCTGTAGTCCTAGCCCCTTGGGAGACTGAGGCAAGAGAATCTCTTAAGCCCAGGAATTGGAGGTTGCTGTGAGCAGTGATGCCATGGTACTCTACCGAGGGCGACATAGTGAGACTGTCTCAAAGAGAAAGAAAAGATTCCATTCATGATAATAAAGGACACATTATTTGACTATAGTTTCTCATACTCACCTTTAAAGATTTTTGATCTGAAATTGTTAATTTGTATCAATAGAGAAAAAAAGAAAACTCAAACAGGTTCAGGGCCTGTACTAAGTGGTTAGGGTGCTGGCCATATACACCAGGGCTGGTGGATTCAAACCCAGCCTGGGCTGCCAAACAACGACAACAACAATAAAATAACCAGCCGTTGTGCCTGGCGCCTGTGGTCCCAGCTCCTTGGGAGGCTCAGGCAAGAGAATCACTTAAGCCCAAGAGTTTGAGGTTGCTGTGAACTGTGACACCACAGCACTGTACTGAGGGCAACATAGTGAGACTCCGTCTTAAAGGAAAAAAAAAAAAAACCTCAAACAAAAATTTAAACATTTAAGTGACAGGAGTTCAGAAAGAGCAAGAAAATGTCCCACTTCTATTTGAGATTTGAAGTGAACGGAGACTAACTGAGACTGAAGGGCCAGGGCCACCATTCCACATGGCAGGCAGCAGACAAGGCAGTCAACAGACCACAGCAACGGCAGGGGAAAAATTCATTCTTTTGACAAGGATGTTTCAACCAAATGTTACTTATAACAATTTCAGGGGCCATGGAGCCAATGAGCTTTGTAATGAATTTAAAACAACAATAAGAGGTAACAAATCAAAGCAAACAATGAACAGATTGCTCCCTACCTTTTCGAAAACTAAGTATCCAATAATATCTAAGAGACTGATTTTCAAAATATATTTGAATACTTGAAGGTCTACTAATTTTGTAATGCTCAATTTTTAATTGTGAATACTCATTGCTCCCCGTAAAAATCCACACTCTTTGTCCTACCAAAGACTAGGTTGTCTGAGTCCTAAGAGAATGGAAGAAGCCGTGTAGTATAATCCCCTCATTTATGAAGACACAGACAGTTGGTTCTGTCCATGGAGCACGCAGCTGAGTGGCAGAGTTGGGCCTAGATCCTGGTCTCCAGCTCAGTTGAGGTTTCTTTCCACAACATCCCACTGTCTCACTGCTCAGTGTATCTCAGTGTCCAAACCACACTTCCTATCTTTCTTTTTATACTGTATCAGTGGATCAGCTTTATTTTTAGAATGCTAAAAATAATGTCCTTTTATTAATAAAATGGCATTCTCACCTTTCCATTTATACCTAAAACTGAGAAAAATAATCATCATTCAAAGAATAAAAGAATTCTTGAGAAAAAGAATTAAGGATTTAGAAAGTGTATGTTAATAGGCTCAGCACCTGTAGCTCAAGTGGCTAAAGAGCCAGCCACATATACCAGAGCTGGTGGATTCGAATCCAGCCTGGGCCAGCTAAACAACAATGACATCTACAACAAAAAAATAGCCGGGCATTGTGGTGGGTGCCTGTAGTCCCAGATACTTGGGAGGCTGAGGTAAGACAATCGCTTAAGCCCAGGAATTGAAGGTTGCTGTGAGCTGTGATGCCATAGCACTCCACCCAGGGTAACAGCTTGAGACTCTGTCTCAAAAAAAAAAGAAAAGTGTATTTTAATAAAAATTTAATTGAAAACATAGCAAAATAGGGGTAACCCAGTGGTGCCCTTCAGGCAAGATAAAATTGCCTAAAATCCTGTGCCCCAATTTTGGGGTCAGTAGATATGCCAATTTTTTCAGGATCTCTCTTTCCATGAGAGCTGACCTTCTCCTGGCCCTGTGGGGACCCAGTTCCTGGTGGTGTCTCCATAAGGTGCCATATTGACTTATCATGCAATTCAGCCTCTTCTGTGGATTTTCAGAACTTTTTCCCACTCCGAAAAAAAAACCCATACAAAATGAAGACCACCAGCCCATACCAAGCAGTCACGGGTTTAACAGCCATTACTCAGGATTTCCAGGGATTTCCCGCATAGGTCTCACAGTTCTCTTCACTCCCCTCCCATGTCTGCTTAGAGCTCCCTTCTGTGACCCCTTGGGAGAGTCTATTCTCCCCCTGGAAGGAAGAGCAGAACCCACCCTATGATGAAGTCTTGGCTTGGAATAGGTGGGGAGCTAACCTTCAAACACAGCATTTCAGCTTCCAAGTTCAGGAGCACAGCTTCCCAGGGAAGGCTAATACTTAACACAAGAAATCTAGGGACAAAATTCAAACAGCCTTATAAGTTCTTTAAATGTTTTATCCTTAAAATGCATTTTGGTCATGTATTTTGCTCTAAAATTTTGCCCTATACTAGCATTTCTTTAAAATATGAGAGGAAATTCGATGCATTGGGAAGATGTGCTGTATTTATACTATAGCTACAATTTCTCCCACCCCCACACATTAAGGAGAAGCCATTGGGATTCACGGCCCTAAATTTGAGAAACATTTTGAGATGCTGACTGGAGAGGGAAAGATCTCTAAAGGCTGTAATAGGGAATTGGACAATCTTAGAAAGCTGGAAGAAATGGTTCATTTACTTAAGATGAGACTTTAGGATAGAAAAATTATCCAAGCATTGTGGCGGGAGCCTACAGTCCCAGCTACTCAGGAGGTTGAGGCGAGAGGAATGCTTGAGCCCAAGAGTTTGAGGTTACTATGAGCTACAATGACAATGATGCCCAAGGCGACAATGATGCCCAAGGCAACAGAGATTCTGTCTCAAAAATGAAAACAAACAAAAAAATGATGCAGCTCGGTGCACAGTGGTTGTGGCACCATCTGCATGCACCGAAGCTGGCGGGTTTGAGCCCAGCCTGGGCTAGCTGAACAATGACAACTGCAACAACAACAAAAAATAGCCAGGCATTGTGGTGGATGCCTGTAGTCCCAGCTACTTGGGAGGCTGAGGCAGGAGAATTGCTTGAGGCCAAGAGTTTGAGGATGCTGTAAGCTGTGACACCCTAGCACTCTACCAAGGGTGA